CCGCCCCTCCTCTCCCGGGAGAGGCCGGGACACGCCCAGGGGTATATTCTTAAAGGGCTCGCTCTCCCGGCGGAACCCGAGCGAGGCGTCGGATACCCAGAAAAACGGCGGGGATTTTAAAGCAGGAGCCAAAGTGTGAACTGCGTCTGTGCCCTGAGCCTAGTACGTCCTGGGCTTGGATTTGGGCCCTTCCTAGAGCTTGGGGCTGCTCGGAGGCTGTGCTCCAACCCCGCACCGACAGGATTGGCCTCCTCCAAGCCCATTTTCCAAACCTAAGCCAATGAGGTCGTCCCCTCACAGCGCGAACACCAGCATGTGCCCTTCACACATTTATTGAGTGCCTGTTACATGTGGGGCCATACATCACATTTGTGAGGGCCTCTCAGCCATGTGGCGGCTCCAAGGCGCGAATACAGCAGCAGGACAAGGAGGAAGGACCCCGCTCCCCGCGCCCCCCCAATGGGGATCCTCCAGCCACACCCTCTCCCTCCCATGGCTGTCCCAACTCAGTTCCAGGCCTAGAACCTGCGGCCCGGGGTGCCAGGCAACTTAACACGGGAAGAAGTCGCATTCCCGCGGAGCCTATTGACTCCGAGCCCGGCGCAAACGGGACCTCGCAAGATCCAGGCTGCAGGGTCTATAAGCCAGGAGGAGCGCGGGCAGCGCGTCCGCTTACATCGCATCTACCAGGCACCAGGGGGCAAGTCCACTCGGGCCTCTGCAGCACGCTTGGCCTCCGCTCAGCCCCTGGATCTGGGCCCCTTTGAGTCGCGGTGCAGTGAACCGCAGCCTCCAGCAGGTTTCTGTGCTGGACTCAGTGTAGAGTCGACGTTCCCATCTCTCCCAAGAACAACTGGGCCAGAGGGTATTTGGAAAGGGAGGGTGCCTTGGACGCTTCTCCGGCTCAGAGCCTCGTAGGACCCCTGGCTGCGGTGCAAAGTCGGGCCGGAAGAGAGCCGCGCCGCCCCTCGGGGTCCAGGCCCAGCCTGGCTGGCTGCGGATCAAAGAGCCTGGCTGTCCTTCTCCGCTTAGATCCTATCTGCGCCCGCCCAGCGGGGCGCCTCGGCCCCTCCACCTCTGGGCTGGAGTGCCCTCTTTTCCTCCCTTCCCGGGCCGGAGGAGGCATGGGGCTGGCGGGTGGGCACGAGTGCTCAGTAAGGCCATGGGAGGGTGTGGAAGACCCTGCCCATTAGGTCCCCCCAGTCAGCTTTTCTGGGGTGACCTTGCTGCTCAGTCTCACCTCATCCCCTCTAGAGTATGGGGAGGGGCTCCAGCCAGACGGGGCCCAGTCTCAGGGGAGAGCCCAGGAGGAGGGGCCCATGGCCTCCCCCACCTCAACCCCTGAAGATGTCCGGTCTGGCTTTGGGATGAGCTTTCCCTGTTCCAGCTGAGTGGGAATACGGATCTGCCTAACCCAAAGGCTCCGAGGGTCTTCCTGCCTTTTCAGGTGACCCCAACTTAGCAGGAGCCTCTTCCAGGACAAACTTCCCCAGAGCCATGAAGACACAGGCTGAAGTTTTCTCCAGTCCATAGAGAAAGGAGAGAAGTCAGGGCAACAGTGAGTGAGTTTGTTTTTTTTTCAAGGGGGCTACATTTTTTTCAGCTTAAAGTATTAGCCTTTAATCAGAGATTATGAACTTTGTTTTATTGGTGTGAAAACAGCCTTTCTTTACTGAAATGATGGTGAGAATTGATTTTTTTTTTTTAATGTTCTTATTTGGCAAAAGAAAAGCTTGGCAACTCTGTTCACTCTCCCACCCCCAAATTTCTCTGGGCATTTTATAGGGCTCTGAAATCCTGAAGTCCGGGAACCATCGCCCTGTGGAGTCATGGCTCCAACCTCTTGCCCTGCTGGGTGGAACAGGGAGCAGGCAGATGAGTAGGGAAATAGGTGTGTGAGGAGGGGTAAGGGAGGGAGAGACAGGCTGAGTTTCAGATATCCACAGCCACACTGAAATCAGCCTGAAGACCTGAGTACCTAGCCCTAAGCTCAGGCTGTGGAGAGGGGAGGGGCTCAGGAGACCATTTTAGCAGCTTAAGAAGCTGAGAAATGATTAGAGCCAAGTTCGTTGCGGGATTAGTCTATATGAACCATGAGTAGAAGGAGCTCAGATGTGGTGAGATCAATGGGGCTAGAGTGGTCAGGTTGGCTTACAGGAGTAGGAAGATTTCATCTGGGCCTGGAGAGACAGCGAGGAAAAGGAGCTCAGGCTTGTCCCTAAAAGGCAAGTGCAGGCCCTGTAGCAGCCCCTTCCTTGTCTGGTTAGCACTGATTCTGTCATCATCCACACAGTGACTTCATTTTACTGAGCGATTGCTATGTACCAGGCATCCTGTCAAGAGCTTCACACACATTATCACACTTAAACATCATACCAATCCTATGATACAGGGACGATTGTACTCATTTACCAGTATGAATGAGGAAACTAAAGCCCAGAGAGGTTGAATAAGTCACCCAAGGTCTCACAGCTTGGAAGGGAGGTTATCAGCATTCCAAACCCAGGCAATCTAACTCCTGAGCCCACACCCTTTTATACCCTCACTAGTGTTCCATTATGACCTTTACAATTCAGCGGGGTCCTTTTCTGCTTTGTGGTCTTTGCAGACAAATGTCAGTGAGCTGCCCAATAATTGAGTTCCTACTTTCTGGCTGACTCATGCTGCCTGGAGGGGCTGCCAGGAGGACGGGGGAATCCTGTGGCTGGTCTGTGTAGGGTGGTTCAACTGTTTGCTAGGTAAGACGGTTTAGAGCGTCTCCCGGAGTCTGAGCAACCTCAGTCAGTACCATCTCACCCCTGGGCCCGCTCTAGACTACCTGCTTGGACACGGACTCAGATGCCATAGCGATAGGCCCTGGTGTTCGTCCATGGGGAGGTAAGATCTGCTGTGGCTGCCCCTGGATGTGACCAGGGGAGTTTTGGGACCAGGCAATCTGCAGAGGCGGGGGGGGGGGGGGGCAGAGTCTTCTGGGCTTATGAAGCCCAGGTCAGAGCTGGAGATTTAACAAGGCTTCATCTTCATGCAAATAAACCAGGTGGACCTGTGCTGTCCTCAGATGTTGGATGCAGGACAAAGAGCTCTCAGGGGTTGGGGGTTAGAGCAAGAAGCTCTGGCTTTGGATTTAGGCAGCCCTGAGATTTCACCCCTGCCCTACCATTTACTAGCCGGGGGACCCCAGGCAAACCACTGACCCGCTCTGAGGCTCTGCTTTTTTGTGGGCAAAGTGGGTATCACACCTGAACCTGCCTCGCACTGTGGGAGCGAGGCTGAGATGCATGAATCATATCCTAAGAAAGAACTTAGCACAACGCCTGGCACATTCCAAGTGCTCTAATAAACGGGTGCTCTTGAGCTAGAAATTTTTCGGAAGTTGTTAGGCTAATTGGCTCTTCGTGTAACGTCATGTAAACCATCTAAGTGTTCTCATGGCCTGAGCCCACTTAATCACAGCTAAGGCCGAAAATATACATTTCCTTTCCTTTCTTTCAAGTTGCTTTAACATGAAAGGCCCACATGAACTCTGACCTTTTCTAACAGGGAGACCCTTGAAATGTGGCATTTCCAGAAAACGGCTCAAAGGAGCCCCAGAGAGATTTGGTAAATTACAATGGGGAGAGGTTCAGAGTGGCGTCTTGTCCTGCCCACCAGCCAACCTGGCATCCTGTTGGGGCTTGCCAACCGCTGCCTGGAGGCTGGGCTGCCGCTTGGGCAGGAACACTTCCCCTCCCGTGGAACCTTCTCTCTCAGAGCAAAGCCTGGTCACACGTCCTAGAGGCAGACTGTGGTTTGTTACTAGAAACACAGTTTGCTCCCTGGAGACTCTGTGTAGTTTCACTGCATGTTTGTGCATGTGTGTCCGTGTGTGTGTGCATGTGGGTGGTTTTGGCCTGAGAATGGCAAAGACACACAATTGCTATGATGCCACTGCTCTGGGTCAGGGACCAGGCAGCTGCCTTAGAATGAAGCGAAAACGGTTTGGAGTCATCTTTCTTTGTAATCTTCAGTGGGCTTTCTCCTCTACCAACTCTCCACCCCCAATTGTACAATAGCCAAGAATTGCTCTTAAAATAAACATTTAATAATAAAACTAGATGTTAGCTATTCCTGATGAAACCCCAAGGAAGTTTGGCCAAATTGGTCTGAGGGTGGTGGTAGTAAGAATACAAAGAGAGCTGCCCACAGCTTCAGAAGGCTGGTTATGACAATTTCCCATGGGTTAATTTCCCACTGTGCCAGCCACTCTTCCCAATGAATGGGGCTAGGATTTACTTACCAGGAGAAATAAATAGCC